TGGGGATCAAACCCACAGTCTTTTGCATTGTAGGCAAATGTTCTCAGGTGAGCTATCACCTGAGCCTAGACTGTGTGTCCTTAGCAGTAGTATATCATGAAACCAGGACAACATAAAATATTTGAGGTTTGATAAGGTTAGAAATATTTGTGTTTAGACATTTAGAAATTAAAGGTGTCAAGCCAGGTGTGTTCAAACATACCTTTAGTCTCAGCCTTTGAGAGGCAAGGGCAAGAGGATCTCTAAAAGCTCAAGGACAGCCAGGTCTACATCTTGAGTTCAAGGACACTCAGGTCTGCGTAAGGTCAGGTACCCAGGCCCAGAAGCTTAAGAAGGAGAACTGAGAGTTTGAAGTCAGCCTGAACTATGTCATGAGACTGTATTGGGAATATGATGATGATTCTTTTCATTTATTTTGAGACAGGGTTTCTCTGTGCAGCCCTGGCTGTCCTGGAACTTCTTCTGTAGGGCAAGTTGGCCTCAAACTCAGAGATCCTCTTGCTTCTGCCTCCCGAGGATTAAAGGTGTGTGCCAACACAGCTGTCCTAGAATGGCTATTTTTGGTTGTCAACACCTGACTGCATCTGGAATTAAGTAAAACCCAAGTAGCTGGGTACGCCTGTGAGGGATTGGTATTCATTAACTCATCTGAACTGGGAAGAAGTGGAAAGACATACGATCGTATCTCTTTGCTCTGCATAATTTCCAAATGAAAGCAATACCAGGGCATAATTATGCCTAACATGGTATAACGATCTCATGTGTAAACACATCATATATTTAACCAGGTTATAAATACAACTAACATGAAATAACTACCCCTCCTACAGCCACAAATGCATTTTAAATGAAAGGAAACTAAAAACACAGTATAAATGAGTAGGATGTCCAACCCAGCAGCTGTTGCAATGAAGAGAAGCTAGAGGGCCCCCCAGTGGTAGAATCTAGTGGTAGAATCTAGAAAAATATACAACAGAATCACCAAAGGAGCAAATAGTCGCATGCAGAATTGAACCCAGAGGCAACTCACCTTCTGTGGGTCAGGACAAAACAAAAACACCAGCCACAAAATCAGGAATCAAACGACTACAACTCTCTAGGCCGAACTTTACTGTCACGCATTTAATCACTCACACAGTTGGCCAGCCATTCATTCAAGCAAAATACAAACAGATTCCCCATGAGAGGCATGACCAGAGTGCAGGGGTCCCTCCTACTGGTGTCCTTATGTACTGAAGGAAGACAGAAAGGCTTTCTTGATGGAAATTTCATCTCGAATCAAGAAGAGGGCTCCCGAAAGAACCAGCAAGAAGGCAGAAATGTGTTCCTGTCCAGCCTGGACTACACAGTGAGTTCCAGGTGACCTGTTGTAGTAGTTTGAATGGAATTGACCCCATAATCTCAGAAAGAGTGGCACTATTATCCAGCATGGCTTTGTTTGGATTTGTATGGCCTCATGGGAGGAAGTGTGTCACAGTGGGGGAAGCTTTGAGGTCCATGCTCAAGTTTGCTTAGTTTGACCCTCAGACTGTTTCCTGCTGCTTGCAAGATATAGGACTCTCAGCTACTTCTCCAGCACCATGTCTGCCTGCATGCCACCATGTTCCCTGCCATGATGATAATAGACTGAACCTCTGAAACTGTAAGCAAGTCACCCCAATTGAATGTTTTTATTTATAAGAGTTACTCTGGTCATGGTGTCTCTTAAGAGCAACAGAAATCTTAAGACTCCTGTTGTGTCTATGTTTGTGCAGCATTAAAAGTAAAAGGTCATTGGGTGGTGGTAGCACACACCTGTAATTCCAGAGCTGGGGAGGCAGAAGCAGATGGATCTCTGGGAGTTCAAGGCCAGCCTGGTCAACAGATAAAGTTCTAGGAAAAGCTCCAAAGCTACACTCTGGGGTGGGGTGGGGAGTTCAAGGTTATCCACAGCTACTGAGATTCTACAAACCAACCAGAAGATTTCATGACCTGATTTATAGAAACAATAAAAAGGGTGCAAATACCTTGGAAATGACAGCATCAAATTGGCCTTGGGTGTTCACATCTGTAATCCAGGATTTAAGAGACAGAAGCAGGAGGATCCCTGTTATAATATGTCCAGTCTGGTCTGCAGACGAATTGGATAGGTCGATAGATAGATAGATAGATAGATAGATACATACATACATACATACATACATACATACATACATACATAGTAGTTAGGTAGATAAATAGATACATACATACATACATACATACGTACATACATACATACATACATAGTAGTTAGGTAGGTAGATAGATAGATACATACATACATACACAGTAGTTAAGGAGATGGATAGATAGATACATACATACATACATACATAGTAGTTAGGTAGATAGATAGATAGATAGATACATACATACATATATACATACATACATACATAGTAGTTAGGTAGGTAGATAGATACATAGATACATACATACATAGTAGTTAGGTAGATAGATAGATAGATACATACATACATACATAGTAGTTAGGTAGGTAGGTAGGTAGATAGATAGATAGATAGATAGATAGATAGATAGATAGATAGATAGTTCGACTGTGCCTCCCAGGGTGCAACACTTGCCCAGCAAGTAAAGGATATTGCATTCAACTTATTGAGTGAAATTTTTCTTGAGAGACAGGAGCAGAATTCCTCCCACCCCAGATAGGGCACCAATGAAACATCAAAGCGATGATTCCAACCAAGTGTGGTTGCTGAATCCTTAAGTAAATCAGGCTTGGGCTTGTATGTAGTCAAGTTAGCAGAAAGTCTCAGCTCAACAGAATAACTTTGTGTCTTACTTAAATTTCTACTGATGTGACTATGGCCATGGCTATAGAGACCCAAGATTGTGAGCCTATTTTCACATTGACCAGAGGTCACAGAGACCTCTATTCCTTTAAGGTTATCACGTTTCTACCTCAAACAAAGGTCCCGCCTAGATTTAGAGCAGAGACTGTTGCTCTCTAAAGGCTATTGGCAACAGGTGTGGCTAATAGCCAGACCTTGTGTTTCAGGAATAGAGAAGTAGATATGTTTCTACTTCAAACAAAAGTCTAAGGATCCAGCTAAGTTCCAGTTCCCTTAAGGAGATAACATTGGATTCCACCCAGGGAGTGGTTTGCCCACAGAATGTTTTGGTCTAGGGTGTGAGTATGACTTGTTTTGTTCTAGCAACAGAATGTTTAACTTATGGATATAGGCTGCAACCTTCAACTTGTCTGTTCATTTCTTTGTATCATGTTAATGCAGTTTTTTAATGTTACTCCTACCTTTTAGGGTAAAGGGTTTTTAAACAACTGGAAATTAAAAATGGGTGATTTCAGTAGTCACAGGAACTCCCTTCTGATACTACTCTATATGTCTTCATTTTATTCTTTTTACATCTTCATACTCTTTACTATATTTCTAAATCTCAATATCCCTTCCCTGGCAAGAGGTATTTTCGTCGAGGCTGGTCCACTACACATGACTGTTAAGTTGAGGGTCTAGCACCCAGGCCTGAGAGTTGTATTGGTCTGGACTCCAAATCCCAGCATGCCAGGTTCTGACCCCTCCCTGGTGGGGGTCAGGACCACTCCCACAGAGTATTTAAGAGAGCTCCCAGAAGAAGAACTTGTGGTCTCTTCCCCCCCCCCAACCCATGGTAGCATTCGTGACTTTCCATCAGACACAGGATTGATCTCCAAATATATAAAGGACTCAAGAAATTTGACATTAAAATTCTAAATAACCCAATTAAAAATGGGGTACTGAACCAAACAGAGAATTCTCAACAGAAGAATCTCAAATGGACAAAAGATACTAAAGAAAATGTTCAACATCTTTAGCCATCTGGGAAATGTAAATCAAAACTACTCTGAGATACAATTTTACATCTGTAAGAATGGCTAAGATCAAAAATACCAATGATAGCTTATGCTGGAGAGGATGTGGAATAAGGAGAACACTCATCCATTGGTGGTGAGAATGCAAACTTGTAAACCACTTTGGAAATCAATATGGTGGTTTCTCAGAAAATTGGGAATCAACCTACCTCAGGATCCAGCAGTACCACTCTTGGGCATATACCCAAAAGATGCTCAAACATACTACAAAAACATTTGTTTATGTTCATAGAAGCATTATTTGTAATTGTCAGAACCTGGAAACAACCTAAATGCCCCTCAACTGAAGAATAGATAAAGAAAATGTGGCAATTTACATATCAGAGTACAACTCAGTGGTTAAAAAAGGAAAAAAAACTATGACTTCTTGAATTTTGCATGCAAATGGATGAAATTAGAAAACATTATCCTGAGTGAGGTAACCCAGACCCCAAAAGATGAATACGGTATGAACTCACTCATAAGTGGATACTAACTATAAACAAAGGACACTGAGCCTATATTTCATGATTTTAGAGAAGCTAAGTAATAAGGTGAACCCCCCCCCAAAAAAATATACAGATTCACCTGAAAATTGGAAACAGACAGGATTCCCTGACAAAATTGGGAACATGGGGCTGGAGGGAGAAGGGGTAGAAGGGGAAGAGGAGGGGAGAAGGGGAGGCTTGAGGAGAACTTGAGGGAATGAGACAGACAAGATGGAAGAATGACAGATGAGAGTAAGGAAGGAGATATTTTGATTGAGGGAGCCAGAAAAATGAGAATGCAATGGGTAGGCATAGGGATATTTTAAAACACAATTAGTAAAGAGATCACTAACTGAAGACTTCAAATACAATTCCTTGATTCAGTGGATGCTTGAAGCCAGCTGAGACTTCCCAGACCCTGAACCTAGCAGGCAGGCTAGCTAATGAATGAGAAAGATCCCAAATCTTTATTTACTGCCAGTAAAAACAAAGCCTGAGCCCCAGATCATAGACATAGCACTCACCACATCTATGGCACATTTCTGTAGCAAAGATGATCCTCTTGGGTGACCTCAGGGCTCAGAATATATCCATGAGCTCAGGGCAGAGTTGGACAAATCTCTCTATGGAAATGTAACCCAAATCACTATAGCACTCCAGAGGGGCAGACACTGCCCCATATTTATCTTGCTCAAGTTGGCTGTGTGGTCCAAAATGTTCTTCAGGATGTGTATGGAGAAGTTGTTATCATAGATGGTGACTTTGGTGAGCTGGGAGCACTGGCTGAGGGCAGGGATGAGGTCAGTAAGCTGATAGTCCTTCATCCTACAGCCATGCATGTCCAGAGACAGCAAAGTGTCTATCACATTCTCAAGCAGAACTCAGAAAGGCAAAGGATCTAAGATCAATAATACCACACCTCTCATGTCCAGATGTTTTAGCTGACAGAGGCTATGGTACCAGGGGAAATAATTCAAGTCACACTGTGACGGTCGGTAGTGAATTATGGAGAGAGTCTCCAAGGGGTTGTCAGGGACCTGGGGATAGGAAAAAGAGTTAGGTTGGGAAAAGGACTTTGGAGACTGTATCCTGGGAGTTTACATAGAGGGAGACAGGGCACACATCTCAGGGTTATTTAGACTTTATGAACAATGAGTGTGCCCCGGTGTGGCATAGGAGTCTACTGAATCAAGTCACACACCCCTATCAGCTCCATAATTGTTCCCAGTGACTGGCAGGCACCATGCACCCACTAACCCTTCAATTTAAAGAGAAAGATTTGCTCTATTAGCAGACCCAGATCTCAACCTTGCTTATCTGAATAACTATTCCATGTTGTTTCTCAGAAAGTAGACCCCAATTAAGGATAGATGCTGCAGACAGATGAGCTTGGAAATGGAGAAATGAACTGACTGACACATTTCTCTTCTGTGTCTGCTGTCCTGTGGCCAATTTCCAAGGTTTTCTTGTAGATGCCTGTCAGGGAGAGTTTGCGAAGACTTCTCATCTGGCCAAGGCAGGGAGCAAATCATGCCAGGGTGGAAAAATTCCACCCTAAGTTCAGTTCCAGCTCCTCAGTGTGCCATAGCTGGACAGCATACAGGATCTTTTTTTATATATATAGTGCATACAGACATATCCAAGATCTTCATCTTCATACAGCAGAGCTGTAGGGAGCCTTTTCTCTGCTGGGCCCACTGCAGCAAGCATGCTTCTTCTTCCTCCAGATGAGGCCTGACGCAGAGTTCAGCTGTGATCTTCAAAGGCCTCCTCAGTGTAAGTCTGGGAAGGACAAAGACAATTTGCATCTCTCCTACAATCTATGCTGAGCAGTCCCCTTACTCTGTTCCGGTCCATTTTTTTCAGAGTCATTGCACACATTCGACAGGTCCACCACCTGATGTTTTTCCCTCCTATAGATAAAACCTATGGTAAGTGTTGACAGCCCAACGCTCAGCCAGCTTTCACTACACATCCCTAATGTCAGCTCTTCCCTCCTGGAAAGGTGTGTGTCTCTTCAGCACCAAGTATCCAGTATAGGAACTATGTGCTATGGACATTTACCTGAGCTGCATATGCAGACCTGGCTACTTTCCTTCCACTAAGATACTTTATATTCACTGAGTCCCAATGTTAGTGTTTGTGGGATGCCAGGGAGAGAAGGATTCCACACTGGCTAAATTTACTCTAAACTTTAATGCATACTCAACTGTCCTGACTATAAGCAAACCATAGCTCTCAAGACCCCTGCATCCTGGTGTGGTGATCCCGGAGAAGCCTCTGACCCACTTACAAGGCCATTCTGCCAACCCTGCGGTCTCCTCAGTGTGCCCCATGTGTTCCAGGTGACCATACTTGGTTATTGCTTACCTGGGGTGAAACCTTCTCTCCAGATGCGTGTCTATGCCATCGACCACAGTCTGTAAGATTTCAACATTGGGAGTCTTCATCAGTGTGCCAACAGGGAGGCAGGGGAAAGGCCAGGGTTCCCACATTGCCCTCACAATCCTAGGGTGTCTGTCCTTGAAGAGGCCTGGAAGAGCTCCAGGAGCAGTTCCAGAGCAGAGAGGGCCAAGGCCTCATTCCTCAGCAGAGCCTCAGTGACAGCTTCGCGGGTGGAGGTGGGGTCTGAACACTCATCATGAAGGGCTTGCAGGCAGAAGGCTCCTGAGGAAGCATTCAGGGAAAAATGTATTTAAGTAAAGGTTAGAAACCTTTTCACTCAGCACTGTAACCCATAGAGCGAATTCTATTGGGTCTTAATAAGAGAATCCAAGAGTCAGATATGGGGTAAATGCTGAAAAATCAGATAAGCAAAACAGCCAAGCATCTAGTTCTTACCTCCACCTCGGACCAAAATTCTCTGACCAAAAGGGCGATCCTGTCTCCAGGAATCCTCAGATTGAATCTGCTGAATGATGGCTTCCCCCACGTTATATTCCTCTCTCTGTCCAGCAGGATCACACCCACCTCTACCTGCCTAGTGCTGAGATTAAAGGTGTGAGCCACCACCACTTGATCTCCCTAGCACTGGGATTAAAGGTGCTACCTGTGCTACCTGTGCTACCAATGTAATCATTGCAAATTGTCTGTGGGAAAAAAAGGCTAGAGATTGAACCATCCAATCAAACTGCAGCTTGGGTTGGAAGGTGGGACTGAAATAGGGAGGGGGAGGTGAGCAGAAGGGTATATAAAGAGTTCAAGAGACCACTGAAGATGCTCAGAGACCTGAACCTGGAGGAACTGCCTGGCTCAGCTGGGATAGAGACCTGTTGTTGTCAGTGCTCAGAACTGGTGAGTAGATGTCCTCTGTGGGCTCCTGTAGTTTGTATCAGGACCTTGAGACTGAAGAAGGGACTGGAAACTTTTATTTCTGTCTCTTCAGATGAACACATTTAAGCCAGTGGGTTTGATTCTAGATGAAGTTTTACCTTCATCTCAGATGTTAATCTATGACAGTTTGTTGATTTCATTATGGTTGATGATTGTTTTGAGACAAGGGTTTCCTACCTTGTCCAAGTTGTCCTAGAACTGGGCCTGTAGTTCTGGCTAGGCTGGAAATCAAGATCATCCCGAGTCACTTTCTCTCATACTGTGGTACATTCAAATGAGTGTTTTCAATAGTTTTTGTGGAACAAGGGCTCACGTAGACCTGGAGACCACATGTCTTTGACTCTTGACTGTTCCTCTGCCGAAACCTCCTTCCTGGGGAGGTGTAAGTGGTAGGGTCTGAGAGAAGCCCCCAAAGAAGACCTACAGCCATGTATGCAATAACAAGAGAGCTTTATTGATTGCAACATTGGGGTGGCAGTTAGCGAACTCCAAAGAGGGTCACAAGCTCCTTTTTAAGTAGACGTAAGGGAATTCCAGGGAGGAGGGGTTAATCTGGGTCTTATTGGTGAAGGGAAGAGTATTATGGGAGTTGATTGGAAGTTTCTGGTTGTTAATTACATTCAACAATTTCTGACATTGGTAAGGGGTTTGCCTGAGATGAGGGGTTGATGCTGGCCTGAAGAAAGATCTTCAGAGGATTTTTGTATTCCAGATTGCCATTTTGAGAAGAACAAGGCTACTTCAATAATTGAAGGCAAACAAAGAGAATTCAAGCCCGTCAGCCCCAGCAGAAAACTTGGAACACCCATTTCAAGGCTCCAAGGCAGCAGAGCTCCAGCAGAAGTACCCACAGCAATTGGCCCATCAGCAGGACCAGGAGCAAGCACAGCAGCCCAAGGAACTGTCCCCACAGCCCAGTCCTCCAAGACAGGCTAAGCACACCATGGTGGATTATCCTGAGGAGGAGAAGGAAGCCACAGCACCACCACCTAAAATTCCCAGACTTGAGACCACTCCCTTAGCATTGCCTCCAGACTGGAAGTTTCTCATCAATCCTGCATCAGGTGAAGCTGTTGTAGGTGGCCCAGTGGCAGCAAGTGACCTCTTCAAAATCCAGCTTCCTCCTCCAGCCCACACGGCCACTGTGCACCAACCACCATCATTGTGGCCTCCACCCCCACTGCCCTACAGCTACGTGACTGGGATGTCTAGCAACAGCGCCTTCGTGTCTGGAGAGGGCTACAAGAACCTGCAATCCATGATGAAAACCAATCGTTCCTCCTACATTGCCCTCCGCCCCGCCTATGGCCAACGTGCTCACCTTCCCCACCAGCCCCATGTCTACTCCCCCAACTTACCCCCACCTCATGTTTTTCCACCCCCAGCTTTCTTCCTCCCACCCACCATTTCTCCCCTTATCCCACGCTACCCTCGCCTTCTCCCTCCCATCATCCCCAATTTCCCACCACCACCTCTGTTCCGGCCACCCATTCATGTAGCCCCTCCTCGCCGTCTTCGAGGTTTGGTTTGGCCACCAGCCAGCTACCTACCTGCAGCTATTCCACTGAGGGGCAGCGCGCTGTTACCACCTGTCTCCCCACCAGGCATACTGTCTATCAGGAGGCTATGATGGGCAACTGCATGAGATAACAGGAAGTCCCTTTCCTTTTTTGTTTATTCATTTTAACCCCGGTATACCATTATGACAGACTCATCAACAATGGGATGTAAAGGACTGGACTTGGAAGGCTCGCTCAGTTCCTGACCTTGAGAAGGCTGCCAGAAGATGGAGAGTACTGGAAACATGAGCAGGAGGCTCAGCATCCTCTCCTGTGCACGCAGCTGCCTTTTGCTCTCACCTCACTGCACCTGCCAATTGCAACAGGGGTTCTCTTCTTCTGAGTGGGGTGGGGGCAAGAGGGAAAAGGTGTCACCTCAGGGTAACTCAATGAAAAAATAGAGAATGACAATAAAGTGTTTGTAAATACTATGAAAAGAAATTCTCTTATATGCTAAGCAGTGGTGTTTGTATGAAAAAAAACGCAAAATAAAAAATCTGAGTTTTCCAATGGACTTGAAGAGTCCATTGAGTGGGTAGTAGCAGCAGGGTGCCTTGTATATGTCAGACAGTTTCAGGGTAAGAGGGTCAGGCTGGGATGAAAGCAGTGCACCCTGGGTAGTGCCTGTTGTGGTGTACCACATCCAGTCTCGGTTGCCTTCTGTGTCCTGCACTGGGTTACTTTTAATAGTGAAGACAGTAAGTAACCACATTGGCTCACTACACAGCTTCACAATGGAGTGTCTTTCCCTCAGGAAATCAGGGCCTATTTTTCCTGGGATCACAAATTTTGATTGCCGTGTACGGCTGTCCATGTGTCCTTCCGTTCAGTGCTTCTCTCTGTGACCCTAGTAGGTGAGGCAGCCCCACTTAGCTTGGAACTCTGCATCCTCTATTGTCTGGAGGGGCAGCCTTGCTGGACGGCTGTCTCCTTTCCTCCAGGGAGAAAGACGTGTGTACAGGGAAAGTACTATTGTTCACATCTCTTAGAAAAGGCTTCTACATGGAGATGCAGTTTTCATTGTCTCAAGACATTTGAAAAAGCCTCAAAACTGATGATTTCTGGTTAGTCTTAAGGGAAAACTTCCACTTTGAGTTTCCTAGAAAGTCATGAAAAGACCATTTATTCACAACACAAACATTACAGCCATGGCTGGTACCTGTACTTCATGGTTTTTGCTAAGTACCTGCATCATCTGGGCCACTGAGCGGAGGACAGGCTGCTGGCCACAGCCAGGGCTAGGGGGACTAATAAGTGGCCTGGGCTGGGAATATGTGTTCTTTGGTTCTAGTGTTGCTAGCAGAGCTACCAATCAACAACTTTCCTGCCCATGAACCCTGAGCTGTATCTTCTCCTGACTTCACAATAACACATCTGCCATGCTCGACTAGATATCAGCAAGAACTGGAGGTGCCAGGATTCTGGGTTTCTTTCGCTCCTGTACAGGAAAGAGAGAAGACAAAGGGCTCAGGGAGGGGCAGCCACTGCATCACCTCCTCCAGCGGACAGGCTGCTTTCAGAACCAGGGGAACTGATGATGGCCAGGGGGCCGGTGCCAGGTTCTGAATTCCTGCAGGTGGATTTTAACAAAGATAAACCAACATACAAAAGCAAAAATACAAAGAAACAGACACAAACTCAAAACCAGAAGCTGGTGCTCTCACCATCACTCTGGTGCAGAACTGAAAATACATAAGACCAAAAAGACAGACATAGACTCAAAATCAGAAGGCGAGTAGCAGCAGATCCAAAAATACAGATGGAGGATCACGCCTCCCCTGGAGACTAGGGCGACCTGGTCACCCCTCTCTCCCATAAAGGCCCGTAAAACATCTTTCAGGGCTAGGGCAAGGGATCTCAGGACACGTCTGCCTCCACACTTAGCCCCGTTTCAATATAGACCCTGCGAAAGTAAGATTCTCAAATTACTTATTCATAATTACACAAAAAAAGAAACATAATACACAAACAGACAGACATAAAAATGAGCTCGTTTCTTTATACCTCCAACTGGGTCTAGAGTGTTTCTGGGAGCAACTGGATTCCTGGTCAGGGAACCAAATGTTGTACTCTAGTGTCCAAACCGAGAAGGAGTCGCCCCCAGAGACCACATCATATACCACAACCGATGCAAAAGCATGAGGATTTTATTAATTCTGTCATGACAGGGTCCCTCAGCACTCGGGAAGCCAAGAGACCTCGAATAGCTGGTACAGTCTACTTTTAAAGGAGAAGGCCCCATAGAAACAAGAGGGGTTGTTCCTTGACCATTATGGTTGGCTTATTTGAAAAGTACTAATACCAATAATTGGCTGGAGAGCTAATGTCAGATCAGATGAGGTAAGAGATCATTTTGACCCCGTTTCCCAGGGGACTGAGTCAAAATATACATGTATGGGTAATTGTTCAGGAACTGAGTACATGCATGTGTAGCTGTTAGATCCTTGGTTCCCTGGAGAGGAGGGGAAGCACTAAGGCGCAGAGGCTGAGAGGATTTGGAATTGTCAGAAATGGCTTCAGAATTGTCTTAAAGTCTTACAGCCCCACTTAGCTTGGAACTCTACATCCTCTGTTGTCTGGAGGGGCAGCCTTGCTGGACGGCTGTCTCCTTTCCTCCAGGGAGAAAGACGTGTGTACAGGGAAAGTACTATTGTTCACATCTCTTAGAAAAAGCTTCTACATGGAGATGCACCCACTAACCCTTCAAGTTAAAGAGAAAGATTTGCTCTGGTAGGTGACCTAGCTCTCCACCTTGCTTATCTGAGTAACTGTTCCATGTGGTCTCTCAGAAAGTAGACGCCAATTAAGGATAGATGCTACAGACAGTTGAGGTTGGAGAACCGAGAAATGACCTGACTGACACATTTCTCTTCTGTGTCTGCTGTCCCGTGGTCAATTTCTAAGGCTGGAAAACATTGGAGATCTTTTTTATAGTGCATACAGGAAGAGCCCAGCCTTTTGTCTGCTAGGCCCACTGCAGAAAGCCTGCTTCTTCCTCCTTCAGATGGGGCCTGAGTCAGAGTTCAGCTGTGACCTTCAGAGGCCTCCTCAGTGTAAGTCCGGGAAGGACCTTGACAACTTGCTTCTCTCCTACAGTCTCTGCTGAGCAGTCCCCTTACTCTGTTCTGGTCCATATTTTCCAGAAGTCATTGCACACATTCCACAGGTCCAGCACCAGGTGTTACTTCCTCCTGTAGATAAAACCTGTGGCAAGCAGACATGACAGCCCAACACTCAGCCAGCTTTCACTACACATCCCTAATGTCAGCTCTTCCCTCCTGGAAAGGTGAGTGTCTCTTTAGCACCAAGTATCCAGCATAGGAACTCACGTGTGCTATGGACATTTTCCCTGAGCTGCATATGCGGACCTGGCTTCTTTCCTTCCACTAAGATACTTTATATTCACTGAGTCCCATTGTTAGTGTTTGTGGGATGCCAGGGAGAGATGCATTCCACACTGGCTAAATCTACTCGAAGCTCTAATCCATACTCAACTGTCCATACTATAAGCAAACCATAGCTTACAAGACCCTTGTATCCTGGCGTGATGATCCCAGCAGAAGCCTCTGACCCACTTACAAGGCCATTCTGCCAACCCTGCGGTCTCCTCAGTGTGCCCCACGTGCTCCAGGCGACCATACATGGTTATTGCTTACCTGGGGTGAAACCTTCTCTCCAGATGTGTGTCTATGCCATTGAGCACAGTCTGTAAGATTTCCACATTGGGAGTCTTCATCAATGTGCCCACAGGGAGGCAGGGGAAAGCCCAGGGTTCCCACATTGCCCTCACAATCCTAGGGTGTCTGTCCTTGAAGTGGCCTGGGAAGAGCTCCAGGAGCAGTTCCAGAGCAGAGAGGGCCAAGGCCTCATTCCTCAGCAGAGCCTCCATGACAGCTTCATGAGTGGGGGTGGGGTCTGAACACTCATCATGAAGGGTTTTCAGGCAGAAGGCTCCTGAGGAATCATTCAGGGAAAAATGTATTTAAGGTTAGAAACCTTTTCAACCAGCACTGTTACCCATAGAGCCAATTCTATTGGGTCTTAATAAGAGAATCCAAGAGTCAGATATGGGATAAATGCTGAAAGATCAGATAAACAAAACAGCCAAGCATCTAGTTCTTACCCCCAGCTCAGACCGAAATTCTCCCACCAAAAGGGCATTCCTGTCTCCAGGAATCCTCAGATTCAATCCTTAGATTGAATCTGTCCAGCAGGATCACTTCCCACCTCTACCTGCCTAGTGCTGAGATTAAGGGTGTGAGCCACCACCACCTGGATCAAGCAGCCACGAGTGACCTTGAACTCCTGATCTCCCTAGCACTGGGATTAAAGGTGCTATCTGTGCTACCAATGAAATCATTGAAAACTGTTTGTGGGATTAAAAGGCGAGAGATTGAACCATCCAATCAAACTGCAGCTTGGGTTGGAAGGTGGGACTGAAATAGGGAGGGGGAGGTGAGCAGAAGGGTATATAAAGAGTTCAGGAGGCCACTGAAGATACTCAGAGACCTGAGCCTGGAGGAACTGCCTGGTTCAGCTGGGATAAAGAGACCTCTTGTTGTCAGTGCTCAGAACTGGTGAGTAGATGTCCTCTGTGGGCTCCTGTAGTTTGTATCAGGACCTTGAGACTGAAAAAGGGACTGGAAACTTTTATTTCTGTCTCTTCAGATGAACACATTTACGCCAGTGGGTTTGATTCTAGATGAAGTTTTACCTTCAACTCAGATGTCAATCTATGACTGTTTGTTGATTTCATTATAGTTGATGATTGTTTTGAGACAAGGGTTTCCTACATTGTCGAAGCTGTCCTAGAACGGGGCCTGTAGTTCTGGCTAGGCTGGGAATCAAGATCATCCTGAGTCACTTTCTCTCATACTGTGGTACATTCAAATGAGTGTTTTCAATAGTTTTTGTGGAACAAGGGCTCACGTAGACCTGTAGACGACATGTCCTTGACTCTTGGCTGTTCCTTTGCCGAAACCTCCTTCCTGGGGAGGTGTATGTGTTAGGGTCTGAGAGAAGCCCCCAAAGAAGACCAACAGCCATGTATGCAATAACAAGAGAGCTTTATTGATTGCAACATTGGGGTGGCAGTTAGCGAACTCCAAAGAGGGTCACAAGCTCCTTTTTAAGTAGACTTAGGGAATTCCATGGAGGAGGGGTTAATCTGAGGCTGATTCTGTAGGGAAGAGTATTATGGGGGTTGATTGGAAGGTTCTAGTTGTTAATTACATTCAACATTTTCTGATATTGTTATGGGGTTTGCCTGAGATGAAGGGTTGATGCTGGCCTGAAGAAAGATCTTCAGAGGATTTTTGTATTCCAGATGCCATTTTGGGAAGAAGAAGGCTACTTCAATAATTGAAGGTGAACAAAGAGAATTCAAGCCCTTCAGCCCCAGCAGCAAACTTGGAACACCCATTTCAAGGCTCCAAGGCAGCAGAGCTCCAGCAGAAGTACCCACAGCAATTGGCCCAGCTGAAGCCACAGCACCAGGAGCAAGCACAGCAGCCCAAGGAAATAACCCACAGCCCAGTCCTAAAAGACAGGCTAAGCAGGCCATGGTGGATTATCCCGAGGAAGAGAAGGAAGCCACAGCACCACCACCTAAAATTCCCAGACTTGAGACCACTCCCTTAGCATTGCCTCCAGACTGGAAGTTTCTCATCAATCCTGCATCAGGTGATGCTGATGCAGGTGGCCCAGTAGCAGCAAGTGACCTCCTCAAATTCCAGCTTCCTCCTCCAGCCCACCCGGCCACGGTGCACCAACCACCATCATTGGGGCCTCCACAGCCACTGCCCTACAGCTACATGACTGGGATGTCTAGCACCAGCTCCTTCATGTCTGGACAGGGCTACCAGAACCTGAAATCCATGATGAAAACCAATCGTTCCTCCGAAGATGCCCTGTGCCCAGCCTATGGCCTACATGCTCACCTTCCCCACCAGCCCCATGTCTACTCCCCCAACTTACCTCCACCTCCTGTTTTTCCACCCCCAGCTTCCTTCCTGACACCCACCATTCCTCCCCTTATCACTGGCTACCCTCGCCTTCTCCCTCCCAACATCCCCAATTTCCCACCACCACCTCTGTGCCGGCCACCCATTCATGTAGCCCCTCCTCGCCGTCTTCGAGGTTTGGTTTTGCCACCAGCCAGCTACCTACCTGCAGCTATTCCACTGAGGGGCAGCGCGCTGTTACCACCTGTCTCCCCACCTGGCATACTGTCTATCAGGAGGCTATGATGGGCAACTGCATGAGATAACAGGAAGTCCCTTTCCTTTTTTGTTTATTCATTTTAACCCCGATATACCATTATGACAGACTCATCAACAATGGGATGTAAAGGACTGGACTTGGAAGTCTCACTGAGTTCCTGACCCTGAGAAGGCTGTCAGAAGATGGAGAGTACTGGAAACATGAGCAGGAGGCTCAGCATCCTCTCCTGTGCACACAGCTGCCTTTTGCTCTCACCTCACTGCACCTGCCATTTGCAACAGGGGTTCTCTTTTTCAGGGGTGGTGTGGTGGGGCGAGAGGGAAAAGGTGTCACCTCAGTGTAAAAATAGAGATTGACAATAACGCGTTTGTAAATACTATGAAAATAAATTCTCTTATATGCTAAGTAGTGGTGTCTGTATGAACAAAAACGCAAAATAAAAAATCTGAGTTTTCCAATGGACTTGACGAGTCCATTGAGTGGGTAGTAGAAGCAGGGTGCCTTGTATATGTCAGACAGTTTCAGGGTAAGAGGGTCGGGCTGGGGTGAGAGCAGTGCACCCTGGGTAGTGCCTGTTGTGGTGTGACAACGTCCAGTCGGTTGCCTCTGTGTCCTGCACTGGGTTACTTTTTTTAGTGAAGACAGTAAGTAGTAACCACATTGGCTCACTACATAGCTTCACAATGGAGTCTTTCCCTCAGAAAATCCGGGCCTAGTTTTCCTGGGATCACAAATTTTGGTTGCCGTGTTCGGCTGTCCATTTGTCCTTCCATTCAGTGCTTCTCTCTGTGACCCTAGTAGGTGAGGCAGCCCCACTTAGCTTGGAACTCTGCATCCTTTGTTGTCTGGAGGGGCAGCCTTGTTGGACGGTTGTCTCCTTTCCTCCAGGGAGAAAGAGGTGTGTACAGGGAAAGTAATATTGTTCACATCTCTCAGAAAAGGCTTCTACATGGAGATGCAGTTCTCATTGTCTCAAGACATTTGAAAAAGGCTCAAAACTGATGATTTCTGGCTAGTCTTAAGGGAAAATTTCCACTTTGAGTTTCCTAGAAAGTCATGAAAAGACCATTTATTCACAACACAAACATTACAGCCATGGCTGGTACCTGTACTTCAGGGTTTTTGCTCAGTACCTGCATCATCTGGACCACTGAGTGGAGGGCAGGCTGCTGGCCACAGCCAGGGCCAGGGGGACTAATAAGTGGCCTAGGCTGGGAATATGTGTTCTTTGGTTCTAGTGTTGCTAGCAGAGCTACCAATCAGCAATTTTCCTGCCCATGAACCCTGAGCTGTATCTTCTCCTGACTCTCACTACAGCTAAGATGCTGAGGGGTTGATAGCCATGTCTTCAGACATTCAAACAGAGTCTGGTCTCTTTATTTTTCCCAACGTGTTTCAGTGACAGTGACAGCTTTTTAAGACCCTGCAGAATGTACCATTAGTAGCCTTGGCATGCGTAGATCTCATTACCATGCTGTATGTAGATCAGGTAGGGCTTGAGGCCCTGGGTGGCTACGTAAGTTGCCTGAATGCTTGATGTCACATGTGTGGCCTTGGATCCCGGATGTGCCAATGCTTGGGGTGGGTAGACACTTTGCCAAACGCTTGTGATGGAAATGGTAACAGCCACAAAATAAGTTTGTATCACGCTTTCATCCAATCTGTATGATTATTAAAATATATGTCCATGGCTTCAGTATTGGTCATTGTTGACTTCCTTAAAACAATTAATTGTAAGATTTTGTGACAAGTATACTCAGGGAAGAAATAAAACATGAAAAGAAGTGGTTGCCATGATAGTACCATTTGAGAAGTATTCTTAAAATCACCCTTGCTGGAAAAAAAGTTTTGGCAGAATTCACTTGGCATCGTATTGTTGCATGAGTTCTTATTGGTCTTAACAAACACACATACACACAAAACAATATATCTGCAACATAAGCTTTAAAGATGATAGAGAATGGGTTTTTATGCAAAATAGACGCTTGATTCCTTGTGACTACATATCCATCATTTTTTATTTACTTATTATTCTGTGTTTTTCACATCTTGTATCTTGATCCTATTTGTTCATCCTAATGCGGCCCTTCACATCTGCCCACAGACCCTACATGCACCCCAAATAAAATGAAATTCTAGAGTAAAAAGGAAGAAAATGAAACGGGAAAAATTAAAAACTAAGGAATTTTATAGAGGAGCCCTGTGTAGAAAAAAAACAAAAAAGGTCTCGTTCCTGCCTCAATGTTTTAGGAGACTTGTTGACTCTCATGGGAAGCCTTACCCTATCTAAGGAGCAAATGGGGGCGTGATGTGGGGGATGTGGGAGGATCGGGGGGAGGGAAGATAGGGGAAATGGCATTGATATTTAAGATTTAAAAAAAAAGAATGTTTTAAAAAATGAAATTTAAAAATCACTTAAAAATAAAAGATGAAGAGGAAAAATCTCATCATGCACATTGTAGTGCAACTATGAAAGCCACACTGTAACCCGATTTCTCCACACATCACTTCTTACAAGTATTCATTGCAAAGAGTCATTTGTCTGGTTTGAGGTTTCTGGCCATCACTATGCCTTTGGTTCTGGGCTCCCACTAGGACTCATACTGGACACCCTGCTGACATCCTTTCTTGGGGAGATCCTGCAGCTTCCGTTCTAATGGTCAGGTCCCTTCATGTGCTCCAACAGATCATAGGCATAGTAGATGTTGGGGCAGGCCAAGTTGTATTCAATCCTGGGTTTGGGTATGCGCAACTGTAGGGTTGGTTCATCAGACAGAAGATGGGGACAGCTCTCCCATGCTCACAATTTCAAGTCTGGCTCACTCACACCTCCGCTAACAGGGTTGGCTCTGTCGTGCTGCCCTGGCGAGGTGAAGGGCTGATTTCAAGTGTTGCCCCTGGTGGGGATCAGGGATAGCTCTCCCACTCTTATGACCACAAGGTCAGCTCTCCCACCTACCTCGGCATTGATGGGTTGGGGCTTGGATTAGAAAGAGGGCATTTCTCCCTTGCGCATGTCACCAGAAAAAAGATGGAAAATAGGGACAGCTCTCCTGTGGTCAGTTTTGGGGCTTGCTATCTAACATCTACACTCACTAGGTTGGCTGTTATACAGCCCTGGTCTGGTACAGGGCCTACTGTTCTGGGTGTTACACCTGGTGTGGATGGCTCTCCATACTGATGACCACAGCACCAGGTCTCCCACATGCCTCAGGCATTGTTGGGCAGAGGGGGAAATTCTCCTCTACCCGAGCCACCACTAGCCGATGGGTGACAGGGACAGCTCTTCAATGCTCGGTTTCAAGTCTGGCTCACCCAAACTCCGCTAACAGGTTCAGCTCCCTTCCACAAGTGTCTTTTACACTGACAACTCCTGATATCTCCTCACTCATCCACACTGCAGGAGCTCAAACCCTGGACCCCAGGACAAACTATTGTTCAACGATTCAGCTCAACTCACACACCTGAAAACTGCCTGTCCTCTTCACTGTGTGGTGCTGGGGGTGAATGTGAGAGCTACAAACAGCATCTCCATTTTAATTGGCCAGTTCAATTTTCTTATTTCTTTGTGAAACCGGGTTTTCGATTTGAAGACTAATTTTTAAGATTAGCTGTATATGTGTGTGCTGATTGTGTGGATTTGTGGATATGAAAGTAGGACCCCATATGTGTCAACAGTCCTATCACCTGAAGCCTCCTTTTCAGAGCCATTTGAAAACCACAGACTCCAAACTTGGGTCCTCCTAAAGACTCTGTATGTGCTAGGAGCTGGAGAAATGGCCCATTGGTTAAGAGAAGTAGCTGCTATTCCAGAGGACCTGGGTTCAGTTCCCAGTTGTGGTAGCTCACAACTGCATGAAACTCCAGTTTCAGGGGATCTGACATCGTCACACCGCTGCACATAAAATAATGAAGAGAATCCTGCAGAATATTTGTTTTTGTTTTTTTAAAAAAAAATCTACTATGTGCTATTAAACTATGAGCTATCTCCATCTATTGGTAGTTTCTCCTTTTTGGTTTTTTTGTTTGTTTTTTGCTTGTGTCTTTTTTTCAAACAGGGTTTTTCTATAGCTTTGGAGACTGTCCTGGAACTAGCTTTTATAGACCAGACTGACCTCAAACTCAGAGATCTACTTGCCTCTGCCTTCCAACTGCTGGGATTAAAGGCATGCACCACCACTGTCTGGCCATGGGCTGCTATTTAAAGGAAATATCTTACGCTGTATGCTAGGCTGGCCTACACGTCCATAAGAGGCCCACACTGGCTGATAACTTGATTCACCTATGCCAGGCTCTGAAATGCTGACACTACTGATCTCAATCTGTAGATCTTTACGTCTGCCCAGACATTATTAGCTGAGGAATCCTTACATTTAGATATTTTATGCAATTTAGAGAACAGGAAAAACATTCAAACAAAGAACCCTTGTTCTATGTATTCAATAATTATTTCAATGAGGTATAGAACAGAGCAAATTTAAGTTATTTCATTGATATCTTACTATAGAGAAAAGCTAAAATCTAGACCTAAGGAGAGTTCCTTAAAAAATGAATCAGCACAGAGACAAGTGACAACATAAAATACAATTCTTTTTTAAAGTGAATGTTTTAGGCCAGTAGAGACATATTTAACACCTTTATACACACTATGGCTACTTCAGAGTTTGAGAGTCCATAGGAACACAGCCCTCCAGACACAGGGCAAGCAAGCTGAACATGGCGGCTCACTGTGGTACTATCAGTGAGGCAAGAAATAAAACTCAAGAATTCAAGCCAGCCTAGAGTACATGAGGCTATCAAATAAAAAGAAAATTTCACTCACCAGATCCTAGAGATTTTCCATTCCTGAGTCACTGACCCTGAACTTGGCAATGAGGTTAATAACTGAATAAGACCCCAGAGGGAGAGCATCCAGGATTGCAGGTGAAAGAAAAAGCCACTGTTTCACCAACAGAAGCCACATAGAAACACAAATTTGTCTTCTGACGCCACAGGACTCTAGCTGTCCCCACTGTCCCATTGTTCTCCCTGCAGGGTCCACCTCACTGCACATCATTCTGATCCAAGCCATGTTTGCAGTGTCTGATGCCATGAGCCCTGAGACCCCAGGTGAGAGATGTGCCCCAAGCCTTCCACGTGTTCAAATCATAAGTCATGTTCTCTACTTATGGCAAGCAAAAACAAAGTCTGGGTACCAGGTCATACACAGAGCGCGCAGCACATTTATGGCAGGTACGGGTAGCAAAGGAGATACCCTTGGGCTGCCTTCTGGCTCTGAGTATATCCATGAGTTCATGACAAAGATGGGAAAATCTCTCTACAGAGATGCAACCTGACTCATCATAGCACTGCAGAGGGGCAGGGTACTGTTCCACACTCAACTTCCTCAAGTTGACCGTGTGGTACAAAAGGTCCTTCAGGATGGGCATGGAGAAGTCATTGTCATACAAGTTTAACTTAGTGAGCTGTGAGCACTGGCTGAGGGCAGGGATGAGGTGAGTGAGGTGAGAGTCCTTCATCCTACAGCCCTGCAAGTCCAGGGACTGCAGAGTGTCTGCCACATTCTGTAACAGGACTTGGAGAGGCATGGGATCTAAGGGCAATAATACCACACCACTCATGTCCAGCTGTTTTAGCTGACAGAGGTTGTGACACAAGGGGAAGTAATTCAAGTCGCGCTGTGACAGATGGAAGCCAGTGATGGTGAGAGTCTCCAAGGGGGCTGTCAGGCACCTAGGAACAGACAAAGGGACTATATGAACAATGAGTGTGCCCGGGTGCTACACAGGAGTCTACTGAATCAAGTCACACCCACAACTCTCTCCATAATTGTTCCCAGTGACAGGCAGGCACCATGCACCCACTACCCCTTCAAGTGAAAGAGAAAGATTTGCTCTGGTAGCTGACCCAGCTCTCCACTTTGTTTACCTGAGTAACTGTTCCATGCGGTCTCTCAGAAAGTAGATCCAATTTATGGATAGATGCTGCAGACAGTTGAGGTTGGAGAACTGGGAAGTGAACTGGCTGACACATTTCTCGTCTCTGTCTGCTAGCCTGTTGCAAATTTCCCAAGTGGTCTTGAAGACGTGAGTCAGGGAGAGTTTGTGAAGATTTCTCATCTGCCCAAGGCAGGGAGCAAAATGGGCCAGTGTGGATAAATCCCACCCCACGCTCAGTTCCAGCTCCTCAATGTGCTGTGGCTGGAAATTAAAGAACTTTTTTAGAGTCCATACAGGCAGAGGCCAGATCTTCAGATTCGTACAGCAGAGCTGTACGGAGCCTTTTCTCTGCATGACCCAATACAAGAGGTATGCTTCTTCTTCCCTAACGCTGGGCCAAAGGCCGAGGTCAGCCATGATTGTCAGATGCCCGCTCAGTGCAAATCTGGAAAGGACCTTGACAACTTGCTTCTCTCCCACAGTCTCTGCAGGGCCGTCCCCTTCCTCTGCTCCGGTCTGTATTCTCCAGAAGTCATAGGGCACTTGCCTCAGGTCGAGCACCTGAAGATTCTCCCTCCTGCGGGTAAAACGTGTAAAGTGTCAGCAGACATGACAGTCCAACACTCAGCCAGCTTTCACTACACATCCCTAATGGCAGCTCTTCCCTCCTGGAAAGGTGTGTGCCTCTTCAACACCGCGTGTCCAGCATAGGAACTCACGTGTGCTATGGACATTTTCCCTGAACTGCATATGCAGACCTGGCTACTTTTCATCCACTAATATCTACTGAGTCCCATTGTTAGTGTTTGTGGGATGCCAGGGAGAGATGCATTCCACACTGGCTAAACCTACTCTAAGCTCTAATCCATACTCAACTGTCCTTACTACAAGCAAACAACAGCTTTCGTGACCCCTGCACCCCAGCATGATGATCCCAGCAGAAGCCTCTGACCCAGGTATGGGCCCTTATTCCAATCCCACAGATTCTTCAGTGTGCCCCATGTGCTTCAGGCTCCCACACTGGGTTATTGCTTACGAAACCTTGTGTCCAGATGCATGTCTATGCCATGGAGCACAGCCACGAAGATTTCCATGTTGGGAGTCTTCATCAAAGTCCCCACAGGAAGGCAGGGGAAAGGCCAGGCTTCCACCATTGCCGTCACAACCCTAGTGTGTCTGGCATGGACGGCATCCTTGAAGAGACCTGGGAAGAGCTCCATGGGCAGTTTCTCCAGAGCAGAGATGGCCAAGGCCTCACTCCTCAGCAGAGCCTGCCTTGCCAGCTGCATGAGTGTGGGTGGGGTCTGAACACTCATCATGAAGGGTCTTCAGGCAGAAGGCTCCTGAGCAACCACTGAGGGAAAAACATACTTTCAGGATAAAGTTGAGAAACCTCCCTCACGCAACACAGTAACCACTCAAGGTTAGAACTTATTTCCCCAGCAATGGCAGAAACATCAACTTCACCCATTGTCCTCTCGGGTGGTGTAAAACCGGACTTCCTCGCTAGCAGCACGGGAGCCTCGCTAGCCCCTGAATGTGCAAAACCTCAAAATACCTTGTGTGACCCTTGTTACAACAACAACAACAACAAAGACCCTTGTATTGTGTTCAACGTTTACTTTAATTCCTACCAAGGAGGAGGATGGCCGTGGGTTCCTCCAGTTTTCTGGCCACCCTGTGTCAGAGCCAGACCACATCCAAAACAGCATAGCTCTTTGATAAGGATGCAAACTAAAGCCCGAGTCAAGACTGAAGGTGCAATTGCAGTTCCTGCTGCTGTGAGTCTCAAGCAGAAGAATTTCCCAGGAATCAAAGATATGTGTGATCCACAGGTCTACAAGTGCTCTTATTCCACAAAAGTAAAAGCAATCATTTGAGCTGTGTGCAGTGGTGGCACACGCCTTTAATCCCAGCATTCAGGAGTCAGAGGCAGGAGGGTCTCTGTGAGCTCAAGGTCAGCCTGGTCTACAAGAGCTAGCTCCAGGACAGGCTCCAAAGCTACAGAAAAACCTTGTCTCAAAAAACCAAAAAAACAAGAAAGAAAGGAAGGAAGGAAGGAAGGAAGGAAGGAAGGAAGGAAGGAAGGAAGGAAGGAAGGAAAGAAGGAAGGAAGGAAGGAAACAAATAAAAAAAAAAAAAGCAATCATTTGAATGCGCCACAGTATGAGGGAATGTGCTGGTAACCTCAGTGCCCGGAGAGAGAAGGATCTTCATTTCCAGCCTAGCCAGAACTACAGAGACAGTTCTAGGGCAACTTGATTGAACAACATAGGAAGCCCTTGGCTCAAAACAATCAACCATAATGAAATCCGGAAGCTATCGTAGATCGACATCTGAGATGAAGGTAAAACTTCATCCAGAACCAATGTGTTCATCTGACGATGGAACAGAAATAAAAGTTTCCAGTCCTTTTTCGGTCTGAAGGTCCTGATATCAAACTACAGGAGTCAACAGAGGACAGACATCTACTCACCAGTTCTGAGCACTGACGACAGGTCGGTCTCTTTATCCGAGATGAGCCAGGCAGTTTCTCCAGGCTCAGGTCTCTGAGTATGTCCGGTGGATCTCCTGAAGCCTTTTGTTTGGTTGGTTGGTTGGTTTTTTAATTTTGGTTTTAGGAACTCTCCATAGATGAGGCTATCCTTGAACTCAAAGAGAACTGCCTGCCCACGTCTCACAAGTGCTGGGATTACAGGTGTGAGTCAACACCACCAGCTCCTCTAGAAGCCTTTATACACCTTTCTGCCCAACTTCCCTATTTCAATTCCACCTTCCAACACAACACTGCAGCTTGATTGGATGGTTCAATCTCTGTCATTTTAATTCTCCAGAAAACATCCAATCATATTATTGATTTGAATCAGAACTCCTTGAGAAAACACCCCCCCACCACTGCCCCTCAAAAGTCTTAGATAAACACAAATATTCCACTTGTTAATCACCAAACCTTGCTCAATTTGATTCATGTGACCAAAGTCAATCTGGGTTTGAGTTAGTTTGGGATTTAATATATTGTTGATAGCAGTCATAAAAATAATTCAAAAATGTCTTCACAATGGACCTTGGAAAAGACCTAGTCAGTCAGGCATATGTTCAGGAGCTCAAGGCCTGAACTGGATGCTCTGTCAATAAACTGAAATAGCAGCTACTCAAAAGGGTGAGGCAGGAGAATGCATGCATTAATAAGGTGCTCAGGGTATTGGGGATGCACTCAGTTCATAGAGAGCTGCCCAGCATACACTGAGTCCTCTTCCCATCACTAACTGTTCCTGAAACAGAGTCACTGAACCGGCTAATCCTAGATTTTTGGCTCTTCTCTTCCAACTAGAGGGATCTGAATTTATCCAGGTCTTTCAGAACTTGAATAAGAATAAAGGCTTTTTGCTTTTAGACACAGGACTCAGCCTCCTTGTTGGTTTTTGGGGAAACTCCACAATCTGGGCATAACAAGATCAGTACCCTGGGAAAATGTCACATGCCTTTAAACCCCACAGTTGGGAGGCAGAGGGAGTTGAGTCTCACTGACTTCAATACTAGCCTGATGTAGTCAATTCCAAACCAGTCAGGCATACAATCTAAGGACCTGTCCTAAAAATTATTTTAAGCAGGGTAGTAGCCGAATACAGTTCCCAGGAGGCAGAGTTAGGTGGATCTTGGTTGGAGGCCAGCCTGGTCTACAGAGTAAGTTCAAGGAAAGCAGGGGCTACAGAGAGGTCTTCTTTTGAAAACTAAAAACCAAACAAAATTTTTTTAAAAAAAAAACAAATTTAAAGGAAAAAATGGCTGAGTAGGAAGCCTGACTTCAAGACTAGGACACACAAGGTTTGCTGAGAGAAACTGCTGCAGTTTGGAATCCTGTCTCAGCATGCACTCCCTGAGCACCAATGCAACGATGAGCAAATGCATTCCTCTTGCAAATGAAAATGCTGAGTGTCGATCCAGGGCTATGGTGCAAGTTTTAAGAGACTGAAGAAGGACTGCCACAATCCCGAGGCTAGCCTAGACTAACTGCGTAAGGAAACTCCATTTCTCCATGGAGCAGTACTAGGAGCTAATGCCAGAAGACAGAAATCTCTGGACCTGTGCTTTTCCTGCCAGCTTTTTCCTAGAGCTTTTCTTTGATAGTCCCGTGTGTCTCTGAGGAAATATTTTCTTTCAGACAATATGTTCTGTTATGGCCTACCCTCCCCAAACTCCTGTAAGATCCTCCCCACCTTCCTTCCCATCCAAACCCATTCTCTGTCTTTACTAACAAAACAAACCACACCTAAAGAATGATAAGAAACAGCTGAGCTTGTGTTGGGTGGTGCCCGCCTTTAATCCCAGAACCCTGGAGGCAGGGGTTTGCAGATCTCTGTGACTTCAAGGTCAGCTTGGTTTACAAAGTGAGTTCTGGGGAGGTCAAGGTTATTAGATGGAGAACCCGCCCCCAAAAAAACAAACAAAGCAAAAATCCCAAATTGGAATAGGACAACATAAATAACAAACAGAGGAAAAGAGCCAAACAAAAAACACACAAGGAACACATAGAGATGCAAGACATGTTCACACACATAGGAATCCCAAAAAAAAACACAAATTTGGTAGCCATAACACATAAGCAAAGGACCAGTGGTGTCTGTGTTTGTGTGTGTGTGTGTGTGTGTGTGTGTGTGTGTGTATACACATGGCCTGACCAAACCTTATGAGAATAAGAATCTCCAAAGTTGCCATGGTTTCTTTTGTCCCACCTTCTACCGCAGGTCACGAACCTGTCCTTAAGAGTCGTTTGCATCCCTAGGGAGACTCCATTCGATTGAACTAATTTTTCATTTATGATCCTTATCAAGTAGAGATAGCTTTTGGGTTAGGGACAATGCGACTTTCCGTCTACTTCTCTTAATACCAGCCCCCAGGTGGTGACCATTGCAGTTCCCGTAAATGCCCACCACAGTCTCTTTGAGTTCCTAAGTGCATCACTTCTGCTGGATTTAAGGGTTCTTTGAAGTCCTGCACCTGCAATCCTGGATGCTCTCGCTCTGGGGTCTTTTTCAGTTATTAACCTCACTGTCAGGTTCAGGTTCAGGTTCAGGAGGGTGCAGTGACTCAGGAATGGAAAATCTCCAGTATTTGGTGAGTGAAGCAGGGATCCAGGTCACATTGGCAACAATAAAGAGAAAGCTTTGGTGACACTTCTCTTGTCTTGTCCTTGGCTTGTGAGTTAGTCACTTGCCTTTTGTGTGGTTCTTCAGTTATGTGCATCAAAATTCCAACTTAAGGGAGCAGTGCAGATACTTCCTGTGAAGGTTGTGTAGGGACCACAGAGGATCAACATCCTGTGTACTCAGGCCACGGGGCACAGTGGCTCTATCAGACATGGCTGAAGGAAAGAAGACAACATGGGGCAAAGGGAATAGGGTTTGTAATCTTTATTTTTCTTCCACATATGAAATTTTCTTTTTGTTTGATAGCCTCATGTACTCTAGGCTGGCTTGAGTTCTTGATTGTTTTCTTGCCTCCCTGATAGTACCACAGTGAGCCGCCATGTCCAGCTTGCTCGCCCCGTGTCTGGAGGGATGTGATCCTATGGACTCTCAAACTCTGAAGTAGCCATAGTGTGTATAAAGGTGTTCAATAAATATGTCTCTACTGGTCTAAAACATTTATTTTAAAAAGGAATTGTATTTTATTGTATTTTGTGTCTTCACTTGTGGTCTCTTCCTGATATACTTGTAAAAAAAAAAATCTCCCTAGGCCTAGACATTAGCTTTCCTATATAGTAAGAAATCAATGAAATAATTTATTATTGCTCTGTTAAATTCTTCATTGGAATAATTATTGAATACATAGAACAAATGTACTTTGCTTAAATGTTGTCCCTGTTCTCCAAATTCCATAAAATATCTAAATGTAAGGACTCCTCAACTAACAATGTTCTGGGCAGACGTGAAGATCTACAGATTAAGAGCAGTAGTGTCAGCATTTCAGAGTCTGGCATAGGTGGATCAAGTTATCAGCCAGTGTAGGCCTCTTATGGACATGTAGGCCAGCCTAGAGTACAGTGTAAGATATTTCCTTTAAATAGCAACCCATAGCCAGACAGTGGTGGTGCATGCCTTTAATCCCAGCAATTGGAAGGCAGAGGCAGGTGGATCTCTGAGTTCGAGGCCAGCCTGGTCTACAAAAACTGGTCTAAAAAAAAAAAAAAAAAGTTCCAGGACAGGCTCCAAAGCTACAGAGAAACACAGTTTCAGAAAAAACAAAAACAAAAAACCAACTACCAATAGATGGAGAGAGACGGCTCGTAGTTTAACAGCACATAGTTTTCTCTTTC